CAATAAATTTCAACCATACCCATTGAAAAAGGTCCTTTCCGTCAGACATCTAATGTTGCTAATCACGCTTAAAAATACAGAAGGAGATCTTTACGTGTCATTCTTAGAGAGAATAAATCTTATTTATTTGTGTTTTTACTTTTATCTGTGATTGACTAGTTTTGTAAGTCTATGATTAATGATTAGAGATTAGTAAGTTAAGACTTATTTGAGACATTTATGTAAGATTCCTTTTACTACTATGCCATCTCATGAACGTTTGAATGAGATGATTCATCGGGCTCAATGAGGCATAGCCCATCATAACAAGAGAAAGTGACTCACAATAAAACCCATTCGTCATTCTGGGCCACTCTAGGCCCACATTAGTTCTCGGACCCTTCTCCATTTTAGTGAAATTTTCGCGTCAAAATAGTACGGGCTAGCCAGTTTTCGGACTGGTCATTCAAAATAGCCAGCGTTTGCTAATTCATTGAAAAATAGCCTCTATTTTGTTGTAACAAAGACCGGTCCAACATAATATACTGGAGTTCGGTGCACCTGTGTATGAACTTCCAGCATATTATGCTGGACCGATATACTTTGCTGGCTCCAGTATAATATACTGGAATTCCAGTATAATATACTGGAGTTGGAACTCCAGTATATTATATTGGAGTTCTAGTATATTATACTGGAATTCCAGTATATTATGCTGGAGTATTTTCCGGATTTTGAACAGTGTTTTCTTACAGATTTATCTTTACATGAAAAGTGGCTAAATTTCGATGACTTTTGAAACTGTGGCTATTTTTGAATGACCACTTGTAAATCTGGCTATAGTTGAATTTCTCCCAATTTTCGCCGATTGTCTCTTTGTATCAATTGTTTAGTAATTGATCATCTCTTTATTTCTCTTGTAACTTCTAAATCTTTGAGATCACGATTTTTTTTGTTGAGCAAATTTCAAATCTTATGAGAAATTGTTAGATCACAATGTAGAAATTTGTAAGTTATTGCAAACATTACACAATGGTCTAATGTTTTGCCTGTAAAATTAAACAAATTGAAAATTGTATCAACAAATATTAGACCCAAGTCTAACGCATAGATAATTTCCTCAAGATTATGTTTGCACAACTTTTTAAAATAGAGACAAGTTCTAAATAATGGCCTAGAAAGAAACATTTGCGCAAATAAACTGAAATAGCATTCCAGTGTCATGGGTCCTAATTCGAGTAATGAGTGAAAATCTCTGACTCTTAAATACCTTGTTGAGCCTTCTTTGCTCCGCCTTTAACTATGTGAAAAAAGAGTTTAACCAAAGAACCTGATTGTTTCACATTTTATTTAGGCAGGATAGATCGGGATCTCCAAAACCTGATGATATTTATTCAGTCTACAACTAAACTTTGAGTTAGCGACTACAAAAAAAAACCCCAATTACCAACAAAAAAAATTGTTGGTAAATTGATCAAATTGGTTAGCAATTTGAGTTACTACCAGATTACCAACGGATATTCGTTGGTAGGAAAATTTTACCAACCAATTTAAATTCATTGGTAAAATTACCAACTAAAAATCAATTAGTAAACACCAAATGAATTTGCCGGTAATTTTTGAATTTTGAGTCCAAGATTTTCGTTGGTAAATTTACTAACAAAAATTTTGTTGGAATTCCGGTAGTAACTTTACTAACAGATTAATGGATTAGTAAATTTGGTTTTTCATTATTTAAATTGTGATTGTAATCGGTTGGTAAATATAGTAACAAAAAAAAAGTCTATTAGTATTCAGTTAACAACTATACTAACGGATAACAACTTGGTTGGTAAATCCGATAGTATATTTTTAAAAATGCATTTGTAATTTTAGTTATGGAAAAGTTTTGTTAAGTAAATTGTTGGTAATTTACTAACAAATTTCAAATTCGTTAGCAAATATGGTTATTTATTTTTAAAAATAATGTTAGTAATTTGTTAGTAATTCGTCATAAAATTTACTAACAAATTGTAAACGTGTTAGCAAATATTACTAATTAAATGGGTATATTAAAAACTTTATTTTTAATGATTGCCTTAATATTAATTTAAAGCTTTACAAGACCTAAAAAACACTTAAACAAAACAAAAAATATACTAGCACTTTATAAATAATAATAATAATATTTATCATGAAGTTGAAAGTAGAATTCAAAACGTGTCTAACATAAAAGAAGCTAAAATAAATCTAAATATGACTCGTATCAGTATTTGACGACGAATCATGTCACCGAGAAGGCGATGTACGCATGCCACCTATGAGGACCGACAGAGGGTTTTGAAGTAGTTGATCAACTTGCCCGCACACCTCTTGCTGCATTTCATGCCTTATTTCTTCATGCAGTTCTTGTCACATCTCTTCTCTCATTTCTTGTCTAATCTCTTCTCTGATCTCTGATCTCATCTCATTCTTTATCTCTTACTTAATTGCTTGCAAACGATGTTTGACACATTGATTCACCCGAGCATTAAAGTCTCGATAATGGAGATACCGAATTAGAGGATGCACCAACATTCCCATAGAAAGGAGCTTGAGAACCAAGACCATAAATGCGCGTCTTCTTAACACCAACTTCGTTCAAATAAATTTGTGAGAAATCAACTTCAGGAGGCTCACTGGACCCATCTTTAGGCTATGACACAGACGTAATTTTAGACATTATGGTATCCCGAAAGAAAAAAATATTGTCATGACCCGGAATCCCCACCATCTGGACCGTAATGGCGCCTAACATCACACTTGCTAGGCAAGCCAATGTTAGAGTTTTAATTAGCCAAATCCTTTACGCTTCAGGGATTAACAATAAACAAGCTAAAACCAGTAAAAAAAATGTGGAAGTAAGTAAATAGCCTATTTGTTTATATACTATTACCAATACTATTACTATTACTACCCAGAATCCGGTGTCATAATCTACGAACACACTAAGATTTGCTACAAACATTTGTTAGAAAAAATATACAACTGTTTATGAAGGGAACTAAAATAGTGAATGTAGGAGCATATAAGGGGACGCCAGGGCCTGCGACGCCAGCAGGACTACCTTGGGTCTCCTAGTTGTAAAAATCTGCAACCAACCTCTCGATCAGCCACTACTTGCTCCAAAATCTGCATAGAAAGTGCAGAGTGCAGTATCCATATAACCGACCCCATGTACTCGTAAGTGCTAACCTCGATGAGGTAGTGACGAGGCTACGACGAGGCATTTACAATATAATCTGCATACAGTGTATAATAAAAGAAGAAAGAAGGACAGGATAAAATAAAGCAGTAACTTGCAAGGAATGAATGCTGTGAGCATGTGATTTTTGTTCTATATGAAATACTCCTACAGAATCCCAAGGAAATAGATTTTTCTTTTAATTATTTGCCATTTTAGGAATTTTGTAGAATTTTCTTAATTAATTGCATTTTTTGTGCATGCTTAATTTTTATTTAAATTATGAAAAATACCAAAAATACTCTGAATTTGCATTTAGGATTTATTTTTATATTTTTAGATTAATTAGTAAATTAGTTATTTTATAAAAATGAAAAAATCACAAAAATGACTCACTTTGCATTTTTAACATTTTAATTTTAAATTCTGTAGTTCTTCTTTTAATTTGGGAGTTAATTAATTTTTGTAAATAATATGATGAGTAATTAGCTTAATTTGGCAAATTATTTTAATTTAAGAGTTAATTTGGTTTGTTAATTAATTTGAAAAGAAAAACAAAAATTGGAAATTGGAAAAAAATAAAAAGAGAATCAGAAAGGCTGTTGATTTTGGGCCAATTTGTCATAGCACAAATGATTTTTTCCCCAAACCCGTTCCAGATCCAGCCTAAACCACGCCCCAACCCGGTCCAAAGCCTTCAGCCCACGAGACCCTTGAAACGATGTAGTATGAGAACAAAACTACGTTGTTTTGAGTTCAAGAGTTTAGAATAGATCCTGGCCTTCCGTTCTATCTCATCCAACGGCCCTAGAGGTTTCCTCCATTTTGATTAAAATTGTCCAAACACCGTTCAAAATAACTTAGTACCCTTTTTACTTCATCTCTTCACCTCAGTTGTCTCCAACCCTAGAACCCGTCGACCCTAAACTCCTAAGCTTCCACCGGCCGGCGGCGGAACCCAATTGACCTCAAATCCCTACCACACAACCATCACTCACCCCTGATTCCCAATCCACCACCACATCTCCCCAAATCCTCACCAAATCGGACTAGCGTTGGATCTAAAATCAAAGAAGAGAAAATCTTCCAAGTCTTTGAGCTTCCAAGAACGATTGAGGTTGAAACTAATATTGTTCGTCTGTTCTCAATGAGAACACATGATTAATGCCAATTTTGGCTCAAAATCGAAAGTGTCGGAGCTTCGTTCAAGCCCACCGTCTATCTGCCTATTTAGGTATCTCCATTCATTTCTCTTTTTTTCATTCCCATCCTCGTCTCCTTCTGATTCTTTCTTCTCTTTCTTGTTTTTCTGTTTAGATCGTCTCTCTTTGCATGTTTAGGATAAAGTCATGTTAGTATTTAGCTTACTAAGACGGTCAACATGTTGTTAGCTTATTTGATTTCTTTGTTTAATTTTGCTCAAATTCTCCTCTTATTTTTTGTTTTCTTTGGAATTATGATTTCAGGAGTTCTTATAACTTCGATGGCCTATTTTCTCGTGGGTTTTGGTTTTGAATTAAAATATTGGGCTTCGTAGGCCATAAGCCCAAAGAGGGGAAGGGTCAACGTTGGTTGCCAAGCCCATGGGTTAGGTTTGGGGTAGTCTGACCCATGTTTGGTTCCTGAAGGTAAATAACAGGGGACTAAAGGGTAGTTTAGGGATTTAAATAAGGGGAATCTTCATTAACTGATTAGGAAGCTTCCAGGAAAGAGGGGATTGGGTAGTTCAGTAACTGGGTTTTTAAATTCAGGGGTGTTATTTGAACAAAAGGGGATTTGAACAAGGGGTAAATGGTAAAGTAAAACATCAATTCTGCTGCCCTAAGGGCTTTCTATAAGAGGCTTGTTTCCTTCATTGTCAAAGAGATTTTTACAATACCAAGACTGAGAAACGACTGAGAATAACAAGCACCGTTTCTTTTTGCAATTAGAACACTGAAATACATAGAGTTTTGATAACTAGAAAAAACACAAAAAAATCGAGCACTATTTCATTGCAACCAGGCTTTTCTTCACATTTTTTGGTTTTTAGAAGCTTGAATCACTACTATTTTCTGGACTCAAAGCATGTTGGTAGCTGGTTGATGATTGTTTGGTTACTGTTGATTAAAAGCTGATGATATTTCTTGCTGAAGTTCTGTTGCTTGTGTCTTATTATTCCAGGTATATTTCCGAGCTTGAAGTGATAATATGAACTTGTAAAATACTGATTTGGAATGGGATTTTAGGTCACCTGGCTGGATGCTTCTTTGTTTGTTGCTCATGATACTGTTTCGATTTTATTTTAAGTTTGTCAATGCTGACTTAGTATAGATGGATGATTTGAATGTTTAAGTTGTCTTAGTTTATTCCTAAGTGTTAAACAATTTGTTATACTTAGTAGTTGTAACTATTTGGGACGGTTTCTTTCAAATGATTGTTGAGATGTAAGTTCAAGTGTTTGTATTGTTAAGCATGATGTTAGGTATAGATATAATGTTGATCTTTTGGGTGAATTTCAGAATTTGACCTCTTTTCGTGATTAATAGCATGTTTTAGTGGAATCACGGTTAAGATTAGCAAGTAGTTTATAATCTAGGATTCTGTGGTTAACATGAATGGTAATCTTGATTTTGGAATCATGTGTAGTAAAATATGGTTTCATTTAGTAAATTTGAGATTGAAATCGATTGAAATATATTAAAAAGTGAAGTCCCAGACTGTTTGTCATTGGTTGCTCAATGAATGTGTATGGATATAGGGTCTGTATAACTTGTCTACGAACGACCCAGAGCAATAATTTTTGGGCCTCAGCAATCGTCTGTCATTTTGGCATGCGTTGGATTTAATTGCTTGGTTTACATTTGGGCTCAATTTTGAGTCCAATGAGTGTTAATACCCATCTCTTTATTTAAAAAAAAGAAAAGAAAGAAGAGGCGTGCGTTGGTACACTGGGCCTGCTGTTGGTCCAGTTCCCACTATGATCAGATTTGGGCTCGTTTGCTTTGCTTTGCTTTGCACATTAATCATTGGTTTGAGCTCAAGTTTGGATGCAAATAACCGTAGGTTTAGTTAGGTGTAATCCCTTTAAAAATAATTTGAGGTGTGCCATCAATTGAATTTTCTATAGCCCACGCAAACTTTTTGTTATTAATTTGAACTTTCGTAGTTGCTTTAGGCGCGTTCTTTAAATTGACTTTCTTTTAATTACTAAATTCGGGTGTATATTTCATGTGACCCAATTTCAATTCTTAACAATGTTAAATAGAAAGTGTCGCGAATCGCGGGTGCATTTCATGTGACGTGGTTCAAGGCATGTTTTAAATAACATTGAATCTTCCTAAAAGCGTTTTAAAATTATTAAAAGCGGTTAATAAGTTAAAAATGCACAATAGGTTTAAAACATGTAATAAATCGGATAATAGGCCAATAATAATGTTGAGAGATCGTGCTAGAACCATGAAACCCGGGAATGCCTAACACCTTCTCCCCGGTTAACAAAATTCCTTACCTGGATTTCTGTGTTCACGAACCGTGAAATAGAGTCAATCTTCCTCGATTCAGGATTTTAAATAGGTGACTTGGGACACCATTAATTATCCCAAGTGGAGACTCTGATTCTTAAATAAATAATCTCGTTTCGATTGTCACTTAAATTAGAAAAAACTCCCTTATACCCTTACGGGTGTAGTAAAAAGGAGGTGTGGCAAATATAGTTCTCGAAACATATCATCAGTGCTCAGCTATAACCAATCCTCAAGTATAGTTTAAGACTACCGTTCAACTAGCACAGTTAAGGGAAAATATAAGCATAAAGATTGTTGCGGCGTGCAACCCGATCCCACCATAGCACAATAATCACAATCACAGTTCACCCTTATTTCACCACAATTCACCCTTATTACACTTGTTGTGGCATGAAACCCGATCCCACCGTATCACAATAACCACAATCACAGTTCACCCCTTATCCCACTACAATCCACCTTTATTACACTTGTTGCGACGCACAACCCGATCCCACCATATCAATATCATTTACTCAGCAGGTACAGAAATTACACAATTCAAATCACATAACTTCTCACAAGGCTCAACTTCAAAGCAAAGCATTTAGAAAGATTATGCACTATGAGACTTTACACAAGTAATACTTCTCAGCGAGACCAATCCATAATATGCTTTGAAAGTACCAGTAACCAGCTCAAACAATAATAGGAGACAACGAAGCTACGAACACTTCCAATAAAAGATACAATGTCTATCAAATAACAATTAGGCATGGAATTACAAGTAAAACATGTAGTAGTTAAGGCAGAAAAAGACAATATAAGAAGAACGGGAAGAAAACAGGCAAAACAGATAAATTGGCGGTGCATAGGTACTCGTCACCTCACTTATACACCGCTCACATGGATTTCATATAGCAAATAAGTCAAGGATTCCTAATCCCTCGTGTCAAAGTTAGACAAAACACTTACCTCGCTCCGCGGGCCACTCAACGCTCAATTACCGTTTTCCCTCTAGTTTTCACCTCCAAACCACTTGTATCTAGTTACAATTAACTCAATAACATCAATTATTGCTAAAGGAATTAACTATAATGTATAAATTTAGATTTCTCAAACTTTTCCATAAAAAGTCAAAAACCGACCCCAGGCCCGCTTGGTCAAAACCCGAGGTTCGGACCAAAATCTATTTACCCATTCATCCCCGAGACTGAATATATAATTGGTTTTGGATCCGACCTTAAATCGAGGTCTAAATCCCTAATTTGCAAAAATTCTCAATTCTTCCTAAATCCCTAGTTTTCTACCATGGAAGAACAAAGATTAGGGCTAGAAATTCAATGGGTGATGTTAGAAATGGAAGAAAATGAGTTAAAGAGTACAAACCTATGATTTGGTGTTGAATCCCCTCTTCAAAATCTCTCCCAGGTCGAGTTATAATGAAATAATTGTGAAATTTTGAGAAAATCCCGATTCTGGTATGTTTTAAATCACTGGCGTCAGACCTTCTTCGCGTTCGCGATGGGTCTGAAGCGATGGCGAAGCAACGGCTCAACTAGCCTATGCGTTTGCAAGATACTCTTTGCGTTTGCTAAGGCTTATTCCCACCAGCCTACGTGTTCGCGAGCCATGTGCCGCGTTCGCGAAGGGTATAGGTCACTTCACCTCCCCCAGGTCCTATGCCTATGCGTTCGCGAGAGCCTAGTCGCGTTCGGGAAGGTAATGCCCCCAATACTCCGCGTTCGCAAAGAAGAAAATACCCCTACCCCTATTTTACCTTTCGCATTCGCGAGACAACCTCCGGGAACGCGATGAAGGGCACACCAGATATCAGCGGGAGCCAAAAAACTCAGATTTTCTAAGTTCTAAACATCCCGTAGCCTATCCGAAACTCACCCGAGCCCTCAGGGCTCCAAACCAAACATGCACACAAGTACTAAAATATCATACGAACTTGGTCGCATGATCAAATCACCAAAATAACACCTATAACTACGAATTTAGCACCAAATTGAATGAAATTTTCAAGAAAGTGTTAAAACCTCTATTTTCACAACCGGACGTCCGAATCACGTCAAACCAACTCCGTTTCTCACCAAATTTTACAGACATGTATTAAATATTATAATGAACCTGTATCGAGTTTCGGAACCAAAATACGGACCCGATACCAACAAGATCAAACATTAACCAAATTCTTAAAACCATTAGATTTTCAGTCTTTTAATTTTTACCAAAATTTCATATCTCGAGCTAGGGACCTCAGAATTCAATTACGGGCATACGCCCAGGTCCCATATTTCATTACGGACCCACCGGAATTATCAAAATACGAATCCGTTTACTCAAAATGTTGACCGAAGTCAACTAAATCAACTTTTAAAGGCAAAAATTATTATTTTCATCAAATTTCAACATAAAAGCTTTCCAGTAACACGTTCGGACTACGCACACAAATTGAGAAGGGATAAAATGAGGTCTTAAAGTCCTTGAAACACCGAATCGAGTTCTAAAATATAAGATGACCTTTTTGGTCATCACATTCTCCACCTCTAAAATAACCGCTCGTCCTCGAACGGACATAGAAAAGTACCTGAACTGGAAAAGGTGGGGATATTTGCTTCGTATATCAGACTCGGACTCCCAAGTAGCTGCCTCAACCGGTTGACCTCTCCACTTCACCTGAATTGAAGGATAACTCTTCGATCTCAACTAACGAACCTGTCGGTCTAGAATAGCTACCGGCTCCTCCTCGTAGGTCAAACCTTTGACAACTGGACAGTGCATAAATCTAACACGTGGGATGGATCTCTTTAATACTTCCGAAGCATGGACACATGAAACACTGGATGGACCGCTTATAAGCCTGGTGGCAATGCAAGTCTGTTGGCCATCTCTCCCACTCGCTCAAGGATCTCAAAAGGCCCGATAAACCTAGGGCTCAACTTGCCCTTCTTCCCAAACCTCATTACACACTTCATTGGGGATACCTAAAGCAACACTTTCTCTCCAACCATGAATGTCACATCACGAAGCCTACGGTCGGCATACCTCTTCTGCTTGGACTGAGATATGCGAAGTCTATCCTGAATGATCTTAACCGTATCCAAGGTATCCTGTACCAAATCTATACCCAATAACCGAGCCTCCCCCGACCCAAACCATCCCATCGGAAACTGATACCGTCTACCATATAATGCCTCATAGAAAGCCATCTGGATGCTCGACTGATAGCTATTGTTGTAGGAAAACTCCGCTAGCGGCAAGAACTGATCCCACGATCCTCCAAAGTCTGAGGATGAAATATTGTGCTCAACTCAACCCGCTTACCCAACTCACGCTGTACTGCCCTCCAGAAGTGCGAGGTAAGCTGCATACCTCGATCAGAAATGATAGACATGAGTACACCGTGAAGACGAACGATCTCACAGAACTATCCGTCCGTATAAGGATGAAATGTTGTGCTCAACTCAACCCGTATACCCAACTCACGCTGTATTAACCTTCACAAGTGCGAGGTAAACTACGTACCTTGATAAAGAATGATAGACACGGGCATACCGTAAAGATGAACTATCTCACGGATATAAATCTCTAACAACCACTCTGAAGAATAGGTAACTGCCACAGGAATGAAATGCGCTGACTTGGTCAGTCTATCCACAATAACCCAAACAACATCGAACTTCCTCTAAGTTCATGGGAGTCTAACAACGAAATCCATAATGATACGCTCCCACTTCCACTCAGGAATCTCTATACTCTAAAGCAAACCACCAGGTCTCTAATGCTCGTACTTTACTTGCTGACAATTTGGACATCGAGCTACATATGCAACAATATCCTTCTGCATCCTCCTCCACCAATAATGCTACCGCAAGTCTTGATACATCTTGGTGGCGCCCAGGTGAATAGAATACCGGGAACTATGACCTTCCTCAGGAATCAACTCATGAAGTCCATCCTCATTAGGCACACAAACACGACCCTGCATCCTCAAAACTCCATTATCTCCAACCGTAACCTGCTTGGTATCA